AGCCCTTAAGGCCTTAAGGGTTTGCCGTTCTGGCAGCTTCCTAAACTCTGCAAACAAAAACTTGAAGACCCAAACCTTAAGTCTTTAACCCGATAAGCCCCAAAATCCTCCAAACCCTAAACCCTAAATCCACGAAGATCCTACACCCTTAAGAACCCCAAAACAGCAATTTAGGCCCGGAGACCCACACCTTCTGCTTCCTGGAGCTGAATCCTCGTCTGCAGGCCGAGGGGGGGGGGGGGGTCCTAAGGAGGGGTTCCTCGTAAGGGCTCCACTTAACGGGTTTCTTGAACAGGGTTCCTTTTTAAGAGGGCTGAATGTAAAGGGTTCCTTTTTAAGGGTTCCGGTTTAGCGGTTCCTTGTAAATAGTGTGTTTTAAAGGCTCTTTTTAAGGGGTTCTTTTGAGGGGTTCCTGTTCCTGCTTTTACGGATTTTACGGGCTCCTTCAAGGGTTACTGTCGTACAGCACAGTTCAGGGCTGTGCATTATAGGGTTCCCTCAGAGCGTCTGCAAGGGTTTGATAGGGCTTCGCGTGGTTGCGTGGTGGGTTTATAGCTGTCTGAGTCGTGTGGGGTTGTTCGGGCTTCGGGCTCGCTTTGTTAAAGTTTTCTAGGGAATTGGGCGGACCCCGACGGGGCCATAACTAACCGTCAGATGTTTTGTGATTGCTATTTCTGAAGCCCCAAATCCCGTCAACGTGCTCTGTGTCGTTGCGCAAGGCCAGTCCCATCGCTGGTAGGCCCCCTACGCCTTAAACCCCATGTTGCCGAAACCTTAATCCCTGCATCCTAAACCCAACTCCCTACATCCGCCCTAATCCCGATATCCTAAGCCCATCTAAGCCCCAATCTCTACATGCTGAACAATGTGCTTGCTACCTTGCAGCCACCATGCTCTCTGCACAGGTGGAGCACCCTGTCACCGAGGCGCAACGCAGAAGTTTTTCTCAATGGGCTGCTGTTGGGAGGGGTTTCATTTCAGGTGCAGCGCTTCGTTGGTTTAGGCTTCAGATGTATCGTATCGTTCCCTTATTTGTGGATACTAATGTCATACTATGGGAACATGTCCAGCAAGAACGGCGGGCCGTGGTGTGTCACAGGGTGCCACCCTAAAGCAACAGGTCACAGCTGAAGCAGGACTTCGTAGCTGTGACAACTCATTGCGAGTTAGGTTCTAAAATGTCATGTTGTTCGATTTCAGTGCTCCGATCTCTCATAGCACGAAGTTGCACCTTCTCCTTTTCACAGACAATAGAGCAAAGCCCAACATCCCATAGCCCGACGCTGCAACGCGAAAAACCCTATACCTTAACCCCTAGGCTGTAAGGACTCATATTTTAAGGCTTTTGGGCCCAAAGACCAGACTATGGAAGGCTTTGGGGCTTTTTGAGCCTCAGGGTAAGGTTTCAGCCCTACACCCTGAAACCCTTAAGATACAAAGCCTAGGAGCCAACAAGCCCCACAGCCTCTTTGCTACACTGCCTGCTCAGAACCGCCCTAAATCCGAAAAGCCACCGCATACAACGATTTTGGGTTTGGGGGTTTGGGGGTTTAGGGTTCCCTAAACCCCCCCTCCAAAGTGGGTAAAATAATGGCCCAACACCAATAAAAGGCTATTAGATTATGCTACATACTCTGAGGTTCTAGTACTCTATTTACACCCTAACACAGCCCTCAGTCGATTACGGGCGTGAACATGCCGGCGACGCAGCTCCAGATTGCCATGGCAAGCGGCCCCAACTTACTGATGTAGGCTTCATTCGGAAGTTTACATAGGGTTTAGGGTCTTTCGGAGATATAGGGCCTAGTACCCTGCACATTTAATTTGGAGGTTTTTAACCCACATACTATAGCACCTGTCGTGTATGCTTCAGGCTCAAGTTCACGGTATTATATACGAGATGGGTACCTGGACTATTCGGGGAGACTAGCCTGACCCCGAATCCTAAACAGCTCTGGGGAGTTGAGTACAGCATATTTCCCTAAGGGTCCATGTGCCCATGTAGATGCTTTGGCCTTCATAAAGTACCTATGTAGGGACTTTGAGGACAAAATATGTACATATGGGTACCTGGACCAGCCGAGCGCCAAAAAGAAAAGAGCCCCAAATGCTTTAGGGTTCATTTGCGCGGGATTATGAGCATAAGGTCCGGAACGTATCATGTGGGTTTGGCTGCAATAGAGGAGCTTAGTCCTGCGCCGTCATTAAGTTTCGGGTTTTGGTTTCAGATTTGGTCAAAGTTTGGGGCTTGAGGTTCAGAGTTTAAGATTTGGAGCGCAGGGTTGGTTCTTCGTCGGAAGAGAGCAAAAACAAAAAAACAAAGGCCCCTCATCGTAGACTCGATGCAGGCTTGATGGCTTGGTGTTTAGGCATACTCTGAAGTCGCAATCCTGAACCGATTACCGTAAAGTATATCTAAACCGTAGAAGCTCTAAACTCAGCCCTAGACCCTCATCCCTGAAACTTAAAACCTATCTAGGGATTGCAGTTTGATCGTTGGCCAAGGGCATTCCGCTTCACAACATCCCCGACATCCGAAGGCCCCGCTCGGCTGGGTCGCACATAGGGGGAAGTTGACGGACATGAGGGTTAGGTTTGGGGGTTTCGAGGCTTCCAGTGTTTTAGGATTTAGGGGTTTAGAGATTCGGGGGAACCTACTTGCAGTTCGACAAGTGGATTAATGCACAGGTTGAAGTTTGACTAGTATGATCCGACTCTCATCGTCCCTGAATATGTATACACTGTATATGCACTAGAACATCCCCCAACACCTTTTTTCTTGTAGTTATCAAAGCGCCGTTATTTTCTTGTCAGCTGGAACTCCGGCAATCTGCATCAGCACGAACTTCTAAATCCCACATTGAGTTATTGAAGCTCACTGATTTCTCCAAAGCCGTGGATAGGATGGTCTATATGTATGTGTGTATATATATATATATATACTTGCCACGGCATGAACATGTTCCTGTTCTTGCGTTTTAGAAAGCCACAAGGGTCTTTTGCGTGAGAAGGCCCTGCTCCATCTGTTCAGCATCCGATGCCCCCGCCCTTGGAATGGAATAGCTTCGAGCAGCGGTAGCCAGCATAGCGTCCTTGTTGTATGGGCACAAAATTATCGAGCGCCTGCATCCAAGACTTCCAAGCACAAAAACCCCAGGTCTAAATAACCCCCCTGCTGCTGCAGGTTCTATGGCTATGACCCGCTCGCCCCTGAGTGTTCCAGAGCTCTGCGGGGTAGGCATGGTCATAGTTGGCTTTGCAGTAGCAATATCCAGGAAAAGAGCCGTTTTGGGGGATGGGGTTCTGGATTCCTGCAAAGCACTCGCCAGCGAATACACGATATCCGTATTGTGACATGGCCCTAGGGATCTAAGGACTCATACTTTTTTTTCGGATTTTGGGCCCAAAGACCATTCTATGTAAGGCTTTTGGGCTGTTTTGATGCCCAGTGGGGGTGGTGACCGGGCTACCATTCGATAAGTCCGGGAGGAAGCCAGAAGAAGTCTAAACTCTGCGAAGAGCCTGAACCCTAAACCCGAAGTTTAGGAACAAACCGAAATCCCGAAACTGTAGATAAAACAAAGTGTTGAAAGTTCATCCCAGCCCCTTCTCAAGATCCAAACCCTAATTTGCCGAACTTGACCCTTTAGAGAACTTCCTAGATTCCCCCCCTCCGACATGAACAACTTAGTAGAGCAAACGTACCTATTATAAGCGCGCTTAGGGTTTGGGGGATCCTCGGAGGTGACTACAGTAGACGCCGGAAAGTTGGAAGGCGGCAATTGGAACGGTTGATGCGGCAACGGCATCTTCCAACTTTGGGTTTGGCTTGGTCCCATCTTCCAACTTTAGGTCCCGGCGTTTGGACCGGTTGATGCGGTAACGGTATCTTCCAACTTTCGGTTTGCGGGAAGCAGCTCCAGTAATGCAGAGAGAGAAACTGCAATTGCTTCGACCGATCCAGTAGTGCTAAGAGAGGGAAACGGCAATTACTACGACCACTCCGATATGGCAGAGAGAGAGAGAGAGAAACTGCAAGTACTACGACCGCTCCAGTGTTGCAGAAAAAGAGAACCTGCAATTACGACGACCGCTCCAGTATTGCAGAGAGAGAGAGAGAGAGAAACTGCAAGTATTACGACCACTGCAGTATTGCAGAGAGGGAAAAGCTGCAAATACTACGACCGCTCCAGTATTGCACAGAGAGAAAAATTGCAAATACTACGACCACTCCAATATTGCAGAGAGAGAGAGAGAAAACTGCAATTCCTGTGTCCAATGTTGCACTATTTCTACGACCGCTCCAATATTGCAGAAAGAGAGAAGCTGCAAATACTATGGCCGCTCCAGTATTGCAGAGGGAGAAAAACTGCACTTACTCCAGTATTGTAGAGAGAGAGAGAGAGACGGAGAAGCTGCAATTAAATATTGGGTCTGCTTGGTCCCATCTTCCAACTTTAGGTCCCGGCATTTGGAGCGGTTCATGGGGTACTCAAAAGTTGGAAGATTGCAAACTTGGAAGAATCCAAAGTTGGAAGATGTGTTTCATTCCAACTGTGGGGTGCTGAAATTTTGGGTGCGCATCTTCCAACTTTGCGGCTGTCACCATAAACGTTAAGAGATCTTATAAGCCTTTATGGCATATGGACAAAAACCTAAACCTTGGAACATTTGGAACCCTAAACCCTAAACCGTCATAGCTGGGTCTATGAACTGTTGCTACCTTCCTGAGGACTGAGTGCTCCAAGATTGACTTCTTCGCGGTGGACTACCCACCCATCACCGCGGTCCGCTCCCCAGGGATCGCATATTGAGGTTTCTGAACACAAGGGGTACCTTGTCTCGGGGAATTATTAAGAATCCCACTATTCAGGGTACTAGATCAGGGCCCCTTGTTTTCGGAAACGCCCAATATGTCGGTAACTTTTCCTGGGACTTCGTAATGAAGGCCGAGGGTTCCATAAAGAAGAAACCAGGGAAGCCAATAAGTACTGCATTTGATGGTCGGGGTACTGTTTCGGTGTTGGCCCACACATAGTCTCCATTGTAGTTCCTTCCTTTCGTTTACCAGTTTTATGGTTAGGACCCTATAATAGAGATTTTGGTTAACCAAAAAAAGGAACTACAATTTGAGACTATAGGCGGGTACAGGAATCAAGTCCGCGAGTCCGCGAGGTCCACTCTCCATGAGAACTTAGGGCTTCGGGTCTAGCTGGTAAGCCGAAATAAATAAAGGCAGTTGTCAAAATCAAGGTGTTCCTAAATCATCGGTGCCGTATTATAATAGGGACCCAAAAAGGGACCAACACTTTGCCCACCACCCAAATCAAAATCCGAAATCTTACATCCTAGATCCTGAACCCGCAGGCCTAAGCCTAAACCCTAAGCCCTAAATCCTACTAGGAACCACAAGTTCTGCATTCTTCTGAAATTAAAACCCGGGGGACAAAATCCCCAAAAGAAGAGGTTCAGAACACGGGGGGCTGTCTTAAGTCTCCATAGGATGTGTGTCCGGCTATGTAAGGCCTGCTTAAAGGATCGTGGGGCTAACCCTACTCACTACGTCCCCTGACCCTTTAAGTCTACTGGGGTCCCCCTATGTGACGCTAGTTGTCAAAACTAAAGTCCCTTTTTGGGTACCCCAAATACGAGGTGCCGTATTATAAAAGGGACCAAACAAGGGACCATAATTTTGACAACCACCCATATGAAGATCCTGAAACCAGGCTTCCGACCAGAGCCTTGGGGTTGTACGGGATGCCTTGTTGCGGAACACGGTAGTAATGTAGGAACCTGATTAAGAAACCCTGGGCCTGTAACCCCCCAAAATAGTAGGATTCATAACTGGAACCCTAATAAAGGCCCAAGGTTTCTCAATCAGGTTCCTACATGAGTTTGAACCAGATTCTTTAAGCAAGGGATGTTTGGCGACTCTGCAAGAAGGACTTCCAATTCTTGCACAACCCAGCTACCACTTGTTGACAACTAGTGAGCATGTTGAGGTTTCTGAAACTATAAGGATGTTGATGTTCATAAGTGGATCCCAATCCCTGCCAGTCGACACTGCCGGGTGTACTGTTTGTTGAGAATAGACGGTGTAGGGTTTAGGGTTTATACAGTTGTAGAAGTTCTACGACTACGGCTTAGGGCCTAGCCCGGACTAGGATTTATACAGTTGCAGAGGCTCTAGAACTCCAACATCTAGAAGCTCTTCGTAAGTATAAACCCTAAACCCTAAACCCTAACCTGATCCGTGAAGCGGGGTTGAAAGCCCGGTTTCAAAGCCCACAGGCTTCCGCTCCAAACCTGCAATGCTTACCAAAGCCATGAGCCTTGAATCCCAGTTGGGATGTTTGGTAAGACTTTTATTATCCTCGTAGAATTACTGTATTAGGGTTATCGTATTTTCCCCCCCGCACCCGACTCTATCACTTTTAGGACCCTATACTAACCTAACGCCGTAAACGCTGCCGCCAGCATTGCTGCGCCTCGCGTATCACCGCGGAGAATCCAGACGAGGGCTTCAAGCCCACGAGCGGCAAGATCAACAGCGTGAGGCGGTTGCCGTAGCCTTTGTCAAGGCTTACCCAAAGGCTCCATGTACCTTTATAGTAGATACTTACTGTAAGCCTTAAAGAGGTCCCTATATGGGTACTTTATTATAAGGCCTAAGTATATACAATATGGGTACATGGAGCCTTAGGGTTAGGGTTTAGAGTTTAGGGTCCTGAGGGTATAGGGTTCGGCTACGAGGACTTCAACAACCCTAAACCGCGACGAATTTTAGGGCGTTGGCATATCTCTGCATGTTGGTCCGATGGGGGGATCATCAGTCTACAAGAATTGAAGTTTTCTGCTAGGTAATTATCCAGGAAGGGACCCGAACGTACAAGACCATATACCCATGTACTGCATGAGTACGCGGATCCTCTACACACGCGCACACCTAATGTTGGGTATCTCTCTGAAGCCTGCTGCTTGGGAACACGACAGACTATGCCGACGCTAAACAGGTCTTTGTGGTCGCCAGTACTCACCTGCAACACTGCAGAAAATCTGTCTCTAAGTCTCCCCCGCCAAGAATGCATTGCGTAGCTGCGGAATCCGAAACAGGCATTTGGCTCTATCTGTATCGAACCCTGAGCGTGTCGAGTTGTCCCCCAAGCCTTAAACACCATGAAGCCACTGCTGAACAGGTTTCAGTCTGCCGGTGACTGCTGGGGCTACTTCAGCGTCGGCCTGAAGGCATACATTTGTGGTATTCTTATAGGGCATTATATATTTAATTAATGATAACTAATATGAAAATAGATGTAAAATAACATTAGTACTATAGTAGAAAGCTCAGAATGCTAAACCCCATGCCCTGAAAAACCTAAGTCTTGGGGTTGATGGTGCTGCGTTTGTCTGCTCGTAAGTGTATATGTAGCAAAACACATGACTAGACAGCATTCAAAAAACAAAGCCCTTTTCTGCACTTTCATCTTCGTACACTCATACACACACCCACATATATATTTATATACACATACATATACACATACTCATAATACGTCTATGTATTTTCACACGTGGACGACATGCACCTGTAGCTGAATTGAAAGAGTGATCGGGCAGACAAATTCGTCTAAAGTCCCACCACCCTTCGGAGATCGAAACCAAGCTCAGACAACTTAAGACCCCGAGCCATTGCATCGAAAAGCAATCTAAACCCTAAGCCCAAGCCCAACTGAAAAGCCTCGTACAAAGCCTTCTCCAAGCCTTCAACAAAGGTAGAAGCCCCCACTGAGGCCCACAAAAGCTATCAACTCCTATGAGGCTCTTTTTGGCCTTAATAATTTGATATGTTGTGCCTTAGAGTATAGCTATATAACACAGATCACAGAGCCCAAAACAGCAAACATTCGTGGTTATTCAGGCTTCCGTATGTAATGACACGCGCACATGCATGCATTACCCCATCGCCAAAAAGGGAGCCTTTTGATTCCTAGGTTACTGGGCATCCTAGTTAATGCCCCCAAAGACCCCACACCCCAAACCCCACAAGCCAGATCACTTCTCCTTCTGGCCCGTAGTGAGCTTTGAGAGAATCCCGTAGCCCTCTTCGCTCAAATCACCAGCAACACCCACCCTGCGCTGTGTTTGAAGCTAGGCACTGGGACACTATATCAAATAACTTCTACCCTGTTTATATACTGATTACGTAGTCTACCCGAAACCCTAAACCCTTGAAGGCTATATCAGCCTAAACCTTGAAACGCTACCCAGAGGCCCCAAAGTAGTTCTTTTTTTGGGATTACCTTATTTGGGGTAGTTGGGGAGTCTAGGATGCCCTAAATACCCACTAGTAGGGGCCATAAGGGCTCCATTAAAGGGCCAGTGGGGGATCCCGGTAAAGCCCGAGAGCCCGCAAGCGTCAGGGTGGCATTCACGAGTTCGCCGACTCCCAGTTCGGTCACATCTTTGCCAAGGGCCCGAACCGCGAAGCCGCAAGGAGCGACGGAGCTGAGGTCTGGGGTTTAGGGTTTATAAGGTAAAAGCCAACAAGTTGGAATATGATTATCCTAACCCTTCTATGGTAAATTATAGGGTATCCTACCATGAAACCATATTCCAACTTTCTGGAGTTCCCTGTAGGGTTTAGGGGAATCCTTACCTTGGAGGGTTTTAGGGTTCAGGGGTTCCAGGGTTCTAGGGTTCTTGAGGTTAGGGTTCTAGGGTGTAGGGTTTTGGGGTTCAAGGGTTCTCGGCTTTAGTGTTTCGGATTAGGTCGTGGAGTGGTTAGTTTTGTGAGGTTGAGTTTGATTGCAGTGGTTCCGGGGTTGGAGTACTTTGGGCCTTAGTAGGGGTTATAAATGTTCGACAGTATGGCGACGCGTGTTCGCTCACTTCCCTGCCAGAAGCCGCATGGCTGTCGCGCCCGCTTGGTGTTGTCCCGGATCATCGAGTAGGTGCTGGTCGATTAGGGTAGATCGTGCTTGACCTTTATGCCCCTAAACCTTAAACAACCCTATAAACCCTAAACCTAGAAACCCTAGGCCCTAAACTCTAAACCCAATCAGATCCTCACCAAGCCGCCCAAAGCCCTGAGCACGAACGCGGCACCATACCGGACACACTTCCATGAGATTTTCTGCAGGAAGAGCTTGCGATTTGCACTGATGAACCTGGACATCTCCGGCGACATTCGTCATCCCGCTTCTTGCCTCAAGCTTGATTTCTCTCTGGACTAAAAGCACTATATACGTCCCAAGCCGCTAGTATGCAGACCACTGTTTTCTTTTTTTTTTTGGAGGGGGGGGGGGGTGCAGCGCACATCCCCACCCTAAGCCGTAAACATGAGCCGTACACCGTCGGAGGCAGGTTTCATGCGAAGTTATTTTTTTCAAAAAACATCGGCACCTTGCTTCGTTTAGACCTGTTTTCCCAGGCCCTTGTTTTCAAAATGACATGTTTGGGGCAACTTCGATATGGGCTGTGAGCCAAGTACAGGGTTTAGGTTTTTTGGGATTGAAGACCTGCTGAGGTGGACTACTTGGTTGACCTGCTGGAGACCAAGGCATACAAGGAGCGAAGGGACACGTTAGATTTGCAGATCAAAGATTTACGGATTTGGGCTTTTGGAGTCACAGCTTCTGTTTTCAATCTGTTGGAGACCAAGGTGCAGAATTAGAGAACACAAGATGGACTGTACCCCTGGAGCCCAAACCCTCAAGCCCTCTCAGCCCCAAGCCAGACACTCTGTACCGAACAACATTCACGTATACACATACACACACACACATGCAAAGACCATGCTGCCGTCCGGAGGAGGGATGGCGATTCCTTTAGTAACGCTCATTTTGTTTATCTTTCATTGTTATGAGATTCAAACCCTGTGGGGTTATTGAAAAAATCGTATGGTTATGATGGTTCAAAGGCCGCTTAAGCTTCTGGGTTTGGGTTGACTCACGTTTGAATCAGGGCCGCTGGTGGATAAGCTGAGTTCGAGATCTCATACGAAGGAGAAGTTGCTCAGAGGTGCATGAGATGGTAGTAAAGCCTCCACTGTCTCATGCACGATTTGAAATCGATTTCTGCTTCCGGAGTGTCAGGGAAGACGGTAATTTCGCTCACAGTCCAGACAACGATGCCATCGGCCGAGCAAGTTGAGCTCCGAACTAAGACAAGTGCCACACCATTCACAAGGAGAACACGATTGACACCATGTGGCTGGATGGGCCGGAAGCTTAGCAGCGTCACTGCTACCTGCGCCGGTTGTCCCACGCCTGCCCAGCCATGAATACTAAAGTCATCAAAGCTGGTGAAGAGATGTCCTACAACACGCTCGATAAGCACCATGCATTCGTGAGCATCAGCGCCATCGTCACCACAGCCATCGTCCGTGCGATCACTAAAAAGCATCGTCACTATCACCCTTGTGCCTCGCAGCATCAGCGAAATGATGAATACGGTTCTTTCCATCAGCAACAACAACATCATCTTCTTGAGCTCCTTCGCGACTGTTGGAGCCCCTTCTGCCGTCACACAATCATCATCCACAAAATCATCAACATCATCATCACCATCATCATTATCATTGTGTGTCATTGTCATCGCTACACTCCCAGCACCAGCAGCATGCATTCATGCTGATAACATTATCCTGCTTAACCGTCCCGCCACTACCAATATCATCGTCATCCCCATCACCATCAACGTCATGATCATCATTATCATCACCATCATCAGTAGAAGCAGCGACACCCGAACCATCCTCAATGGCTAAAAATTTGTTGCCTCCATGACCACTTTCCATGGCTATAGTCTTATTCGTCACGGTCAGTAATGGCAGACATCAGCAGCATTCTCCGCCGCCTCGTCCTCCTCCTCAGCAGCATATCATCTTCATCGTCACTATCATCAGCATGGTCGTCGTCTTGCTTCGCGCAGCCCAGCACAGCCTAGAGGAAGCATTTCTCCTCAAGTTGTGAATTTTCTGCAGGCTTCTGGAGTAGTCTGCAAGGATAGCGACTCATTTCCTCCGCAGGGTCTGTGCAGATCTACAGTCTATACAATATAGGGGCTTAAATAACTACCAATACGATTTTGGGGCTTCCGTATTATATTTAGAGTGTAATGGGCCCCAAAACCCTATTCTAGTTTTTTAAGGCCCTTACATGACCAACACATCTACTACCCTGAACCCGAGTACCTATGAGGGTCCAAACCCTAAGCATTAAACCCCAATTCCTGATCTCTCAGGCTCATCGCCAGCAAGGCCATTGCCCCGAGCACAGCAGTGATGGATGCCGCACGGCCGCAGATGGTTCAGGGCCTGGCTTAGGGGTTTAGGGTTTGCTTTTTTGTGGATTTAGGTTTTAGAGTCTAGGGTTTGGGTTTTGGGGTTTGAGTATAGGGGTTTGGGGTTCGGGGTTACTGTAGGGCTCTTGGGTTGGCTGGGCGTGGGGGAAGGGCGATGGGACATAACATATTATTATTATGATTATTATTATTATTATCATTATTATTATGATTATCATTATTATTATTATTATCATCATCATTAATATTATTATTATCATCATTATTATTATTATTGTTATTGGTATTATTATTATTGTTATTATTATTATTAGCAGCTTTAGCACTCGTGTGAAGCGTGGTACTAGGCCCCCTGTATAAAACCCTGGTAGCCCAGGAAACCATATTATTTACTATAGGTCCGTATTCTGGTAACTTGAGTTAGATCCCTTACCATAAACCCGCTTGTGCCTGACATGTCGTGGAGGTCGTCTTCTACGCCGCGGTGTACCGAGCCTTCTCCATGGTCAAATCCCGGACGCAGGATGTGGATTCAGGGTTCAGGGTTTACGTTTTGAGAGTTTCAACTTGGATTTTTTGGGAAATATTGATTCAGGTTAGGGTTTAGGGTTTGGAGTTTCTGGGTTCGAGATTTTGATGGTTGTGTTTCTTCTTTTCCTGCTTGAGGAGCAGCCGTGGGCTTCAGGCTATTGTGATATGGGCTTCGTCCCATGCAGACATCTCTGAAGGGTACCATCATAGGCTGATTTCCGAAGTCGCTCTTAGAGAGCAGATTCAATCGTAGATTCGTACATTCCTAAACTCTGAACCCTAAAGCGTAAACCCTAAACCCAATAGATATCTGTACTGTTGCGAGCCCCACATCCCACACCGTGAGCTCCAACAGAGAGTTGAGTCCTGAACTCTACACTTCGCGGGCCTACGATCTAAACCCTATATATTTAATCCCTAAAGCTCTAAATCCTAAACGCTTGCACGAAATCCGAAGCTCTAGTCACCCTAGTCCTATGCCCTTTTTCCTAAGGCCAAGCCCTGCATTCCGCGCGAGCAACAACTTGCCCTTAGAGTGGCAGAATGTGAAACGTTTAGAGTGGGTGCAGAGGAGCTTTTGCTGGCTTGAGAGTCGTGCTGATGTTGCTGCGAAGTGGGCTGGTATGGACGTGCGAGGGGAGCTTTCCGTCAACTGATTTGGCAGAAGCTTGCGAGTGCGGGCCTCCGCGAAGCAAGCAGTGTGAGACCTCAGTTGCACCATTTTGTGAGGACCATCATGGCGGAGCAATTTGAGAGTTACGCGCCCGACCCGAAGCACACGCGAAGACTCGAGCATAGCCAGAGATGCACAGACAGAGCCGGGTGCCGGGTGTTGATTCCATGCCGAGACTGAAGTTCCTTGCATCTCCGTGAAACGAACAGAAACCTTCCCTAAACCTTAAAGTTCTAAAGCCCTAACACCTACAGCCCCAAACCTCAGACTTAAATCCAAAGCCAAGGCCGTGGCAGCTGGATCTTCCCTCCAAAAGCTTATGAAAAAACACCCCAAGCGAACCCTACACCCTAAACAGGCTTTGGTGCCTTAAAACCATTTAAACCCCAAAGCCCCGTAGCCCTAAAGCTAAAGCACTAAGCAAGATCAGCTCTACGGTACATTCTGTGATCCGATCGAGGACGCGATTGCGTCTATGCAGAAGGGACAGCTCGTTCTCTTGGGCAAAAGTCCTGCCGGCAGCGCTTGGGTCAAAAGGGTTTCGGCTTTAGGGCCTCTTAACGGTTCCTACGGTTGATGATATAAATCCTGCATCATCCAGAATAAGGAATATACCATTATTCCCATAGTTTAGGGTCCTGAAGGTCATGCAGGGTTTATATCATCAACAGTAGTCTACATTTGCACAAGCCTTACACTACTGGTCAGTGACAACTTTTAAAGTACGGGATTCATAGCTACAAGCCCCGACCTTAAGCCCCTAAACCCACCCCTAGGGGTAGTCTGGGGTTCGGGGCCCGAAAAACGAAGGGTTCAGGTTTATGTGCTCCGGAGGCTTCCCGGCAGTGTCTTGGGCACTCATAGCTTTTTGGGGTCCTGGCACCATGCACCCTCCCAGAAACAAATGTGGAATCTCAATTCGCCTTCGTCTGTGTAACGGACAGTGGTTCCTAGGTGGCCGGTTGAGGCCAGGACCCCCTACTTGCACAGCTTAAGGGTCCACATACTTATACCATACTTTATAAGATTTGGCCTGTAACAACAGGCGTGAACGCGTACTTGCAAGGTCCAGCTATAGGTCACATGGGTACAATACGGGACCTTCGGGGATAGCTCATACTTGGAGGTTCATGGGTAGTTATAAGTCGGGTGAAAAGCAAGGTAACTATGATTAGAACCCATAGTAGGGGACTTAGAATTCCACATATAGCTGCCCAAAAACCCTAAACTCTATAGAACCTTTAAGACCTTAAGAGAACCCTAAATCCTATAGAACCCTTCAAGGAACCCATGAACCTCCAAGTAAGGCCCTCTGAGGTTTCATGGTCTTTGGACCATCGGATTTGGGGGGCAGATTTATGGTTTGTGGTTTCGCATGCTTTGTCTGCCCATAGGCCCCAAAGGTAGTTCCCTTTTGGGGGTTAGAATCCTATAAAGTAATCCCAAAAAGGAACTACTGTAGGTGGGGCCTAATTATTGGCAGACGGCCAAATTTCTTGCAGACCTTTCGGGGCTTTAGGCAAGATCATAGGGGTGCTTTGGGGTGTGTTGGGTTTAAGTTAGGCTTTAGGACAGCGTTGAGAGACTGTGATTCCAGCGCGGAGTCCCACACTGTTCAAACTCCGCATGGGGGTTTCCGAAAATAGGGGACCCTAATATAGTACCCTAAATAGTAGGATCCTTATTATAAGGACCCTAAATAACGTACCCCTAATTTTCGGAAACTCCCACATCTCTCTACGCCAGGCGACACAGATGCCCTGGCCGGTGGCCTCAGCGAGCGATCATTGGAGGATGTATGATTTTGATGGTTGCTTCCGAAAGGGGCCTGTGCCGTAGTTTTTCCCCAAAGGCCCCAAAGTAGTTCCTGTTTGGGATTCATATATAGAATCGAATAAGGGAACCCCAAAAAGGAACTACTTTGGGGCCTCTGGGTAAGCCCCAACCGGAATACGGCGGCTTCAACGACTCGTCGACTCTCTCGCATTGTCGGATGAGGATTTTCTGAATTCGGGTTATAGAAACTTGTTGGGAACCTGACACGGACGGGGGTTTGTAACCGCGTAGGAAAGATGGACAGCTAGCATGTCTTGTGACTTTTACATGACGACCATATATAGTTGCAGTGTACTGCAGTTTGATTGCTTTCCCAAAAACGACCGCCAGCGCCGCACCATCTGGCATTGAAGGCCCACCACCATCACCACCACGAACACGACCACAACAACCGCCCATCACTGCCATCTTCAGACAGACAACACAAAAAAGCGGTGAGCTAGCAGGCGCAGACCCGAAAAAGTCATGTTCCAGGCAATGTTTGTTGCAAGGTCAGTTTCCCGGTGGAGATCACCTTCGACGAGAAGAAGTTTTCTTTCCAAGTTTCCAGGCCGTGAAGGGTTAATTAGTCAGGCGACAAGAATCGACATAAGCATAAGCAATCCAGTACGGATGCAAGTGGGGAGCATTAAGCACATCCTATTCCTCGCTTGCAAAGAACCCGACACTATAGTTTCGGTTGCAATGTGTCTTGGGGTTTAGGGCTGCGGTCGTTTAGGGATTAGAGTTGTGGGGGGTTTTCGGTTAAGGAATTTCCCCCTTTTGGGGTGATGGGTCTAGTCGGGCTAGCAGTGCTCAATGCTCATCTACCTATGGTCTCCATTGTAGTTCCTTGTTTTGGTTAAACAAAATCCCTGTTATAGGGTCCTAGCCATAAAAATGATTGACCAAAAAAAGGGACTACAATGGAGACTATAGGTAAGTGTTGCTTCGGACATGGTGTGTGTTTCTGCCGACGGTCCAAAGCCTTGCGAAGCAATGGTCAGAGTTACCACTGCTGCTGCGACTGTTTCTGGTCCACCCTGAAGCCAAAATCTGGGCCATTGACCAGGGACGCCATAGAAGATAAACAAACATAAAGCTGAAATCTCTGCGGAAGGGTATTGCACCTAAAGTTATAAATCCAAGCCCCAGCTCCTGAACCCCCCACAGTCGCTTGGCAGGAAGCGAGCAGACCTGTCTCTGGGCCGCGATTGTCTTCGCGAAGGGTCCAACTAGGACGAAGGGTGTTCAGGGTGAAGGATTTGGGGTTTTAGCAAGTAGGGTTTAGGGTTCAAATATGAGTTTCAGAAACTAAGAGTGTTTAGGGTTCAGGGTTTGGGTTTTAAGTAGGGTTCAAAGAGGAGCTTTAGAACTAAAAGTGTTTCGGGTTGAAGTATGTCGGGCTTGGGGTTCCAATATGAGTTTCAGAAACTGCGGGGATTTCAGGCTTGGGCTTCGGGCTTAGAGGTTTCAGGGTTTAGGGCTTAGGGTTAGGGCGTGGGGGTGGAGCTTGACAGCCAAAGTGTGAGAAGTGGGACCCTGAACGCGTGAATGAGCAGGGTAGATAGTATACATGTGTATACATACATATACTTACATGGTTACATATGTATATATATATATATATATATAGCAACATGTGTGCTTGTTTTACATAAACATTTACAGTCGGCTTACTAGACTGTATATGTGCATTACATACATAAATAGACACAAGCATACACACATACATACATCCATACGTCCATGCACCCAGACAGAGACAGACAGACAGACAGACAGACAGACAGACAGACAGACAGACAGACAGACAGACAGACAGACAGACAGACATACGGACATACGGACAGACATACGGACATATATGCATGCGTAAATGCATACACACATAGACTTGATTAGGATTATATGTGCGCGTGTGTGTATATCTGTATCTATATATATACATATATGTGTATACATATGAGTATATTTGTATATATATATGTATATATATATATATATATATATGTATATAAAGTGTGTGTGTGTATATATATATACACACATATATATATATACATACATACATACATATATATGTATATATATATATATATATATACTGATGTATATGTGCATGCGGTATGTTCTTCCGCAATTTCGGATCATTGGGCCCACAGGGTCTGCCACTTGTCCAAAAGCCCTCGGATGGCAGGGTTGCTGTAGCATCGTCATTTGGATTGAAAAGGGTTTAGGTTTAGACAACGTCGGATAGGTCGTGTGGAAGCCGGGAGTACAGGATGGCTGGTTAGTATGGCGAAAGTTTAGTTGCGGAGCAGGCTCTGAATTTGACACTCCATGCTCACCGCCTTCCTAACAGGGTCTGCAATCGTAGGTTCGGAGCTTTGGGGTTGGGGCTTCGAGATTATAGTTTGCGGCTTTGGGCTTAGGGTTCGCTGGGTGTGGGATGTACTACTGTTTTAGTTCTAGACACTTGTACATTATCACGATTCGTCTAGGTTATTATGTTGCACGGCGAGAAGAGCCGTTAATTCGCTTGGAAGTGGCAGGGCCGGATCGACCTTCCTGCTCTACACGTGAATGCGACCAAAGCAGGCATTGCAGCATGATGCTGCAAGGCCGACACAGAGCCTTAAAAACCACTAACAAGAAATCCTCAACTTGTCAACGCTGAACTCCAAGCCCGAAGCACAAAAAGAAGTAACACTGGTACGCAACCCCACAGCGCCAAGCCTGCAATCGCAGGACCTCCAAACTGAATCCCAAATCGTCCAATCCCTACAACCTCCAAACCCCAAACCCCTTGTACACCCAAGCCCGAACCCTAGTCCCCAAGCCCCAAATCCTAAACCCCAAACCCTACAACCACCGACCCCACAAGCCTTAGATCTCCCAAACCCAAAACCCTTACCCTAAGGGTCCAAGTACATAATTTATACATAATTGCCATATGGGTGGTTGTCAAAATTTGGGACACTTTTTGGGTATCCTAAATATTAGGTGAGGGACCCTAATTTTGACAACCACCCATATACTCTCCAAAACAGTAACCTACATAACTACCATCGTAAAACCCGAGTACCTGATTCTTGGGTCCTTTGGACCCTTAGGGCTACCTGAACCCACCAGATCCTGGGTAAACCGACGAGCCCCTAAACCCTAAACTTTGTGGGGCTGTACGGTGTCGCCCAGGTATGCCTTCACCATCAACAACAAGACGCTGAAAGCCAAGGCTTCCTTAAATCAAAGGGGAAAAGGAGGGACCCCGAATGGGGACCCCTACCCTATAATGGGCTATATAATGGATACATAATAGCTATATTAAGGGTATATACCTAGGGATTCTTATTAAGGGTCCCTCCACTTTCCCTTGGATGAAAGTTGAGGGCTCGGTTTTGGTGATTTGTAGGGTTTGCAGGGTTTAGGGTTTATAGGGTTTAGGGTTTTAAGGGTTTTAGGGTTTAGGGTGGTTGTGGATTTCAGGGTATTCACCTTCCACGACCTTGACACAGAGCCCTAAATCGAGGTTAAAGTTTAGGGCTTTGGGGTTTACCTTTCTTTGGTGTGTTTGTGTGGCTACCCTAAACCCTACCCTAAACCCTACAGCCCAAACCCAAAGCCCCCTGAATTCTGGTAGAGTTGCCGGGGCGGAAGCTTGCCGGCTGCAATCTTCACTTAGGGAGTCGGCTTAGGGGTTTGGGGCTTACGGGGTTTAGGGTTCACTTAGGGGCTCAGCTTCTAGAGTTAGGTTAGGGTTTGAGGGATACGGTTTAGGGGTTTGGGGTTTAAGGTTTCGGGTATAGGATCCCTCAGTTTTGGAACGTCTTCTTCCATGACCCAGAGGCGTACTATATTATGTCATCCCTGCTTAGTGCTTTCTTTCAATAAGGTACCATTCAATGAACCATTCAGTTTCACAGCTCGGGGATGCCCTAGAGCGAATACTGAGGTGCTGGACCAGAATCGCGACGATTGAACCTCCTACCGCAGGGACCCTGAGCCCTACAACCAAGGAGTACGACAAAACTGTCTGAAGCCTAAACCCTAAACCTTGAACCCCAATCTGCAGGGCTAGTACGACATGCGCGAGCAAGGGGCCATGAAATCCTGAATGCTGGACCTCAAGCAGGGGTCTACATTACCCTAAAGCCGAAACGCGCAACAGTGAACCCTGACCCTTAAACCCCAACCCCTAAGTTCAACTCTCACCCTGGACATTAGCCCAAAACCCTGAACCCTAACCCCTACCTGGAGGCTCGTACCCTACCCTTTTTTTTGGATATCTAGTTCTATGGTTAGGATCTGTTATCTTAAAAAGTAGGCGCCCTAAAGTATGAGCCTCTAAACCCTGAACCTGATGACTGGCCAGGTGCGCGAGCAGCCGGACGGATCCCTTTACGTCAGCATCGGCCGGGATGCCAAGGGAAGCAGACCCTAAGGCTCCAGACCTATTTAAGCCTACCGTATATAGTATGTGCTTAGGCCTTCTGGGTACCCATATAGGGACCACCTGAAGGCCAAAGCATCTACGGGAGAGGGATTCACAGGCTCAATATGATAGTATGGGGTCCTTAATCATTTCAGTCAGTAGTCTGGGTTAAACAGGGCAAGCTTGTTTCTACTGTCGGACGACATGGTACAGCTAGGGATCGCGTTGGCATCCTTTCTTTTCAGTTTCCGCACTGTGCACTGCGAGCTGTTTACAACCTATGGAGTTTAGGGTTTCCAGCAGGCCATAACGTCTGTTCAGCAAGCTTTTTGAACCCAGTGGATCTGTCTGAGGCATGAGGGTTGTTGGGGTTAAGGGCTCAGGGTCAATGTCGGCCTTATAAATTGACCTGAGCAGGCTTTGAGACGCGCGTTCACAAGCTTTCTGGGGCAATACCAACCCCAAACCCTTAAACCTTCGAAGCCCGTAATCCCCTTGAGCCCTACACCACTTCAGCCCTTGACCCCTTCCAGCCCCTTGAGTCCTGAACCTTCTTATAAGCCCTCCACACCTAAAGACCCAGTCCCTACAGCCCCTAAACCCTCCACACCTAAACCTAAATCCCAATGCTGTCCCCCCCAAAAGCCCTTGAGAACCCCAGGCAACATCAGCCAGCAAGTGAAGGGACAGGAGGAAGCGCTGGGACTTCGCTTGATTGTCGGCTCGAGACCCAGATCTGATTCTTGGAAAGTTTCGGGTTTAGGGTTTAGGGTTGAGATTTCGGGTTTAGGGATGTTTAGGATTTCGGGGTTTCAGGTTCTTAGTAGCTGAGTGGATACACTATACACATTTTGGGATAACATGACCCACTATAAAACTTAAAGTGTACACCTTTTGGGCTCATGAACTCAGCAACTAAGGGCTTAGGGGGTCTTGAATTTCGGGGTTTCGGGTTACAGGGTTTAGGGTTCAAGGTTTAGGGTTCAGGGTTCAGGGGGTTTGCAGGGTTTAAGGTTCGGATTTAGGGGGTTAGTGTTTGGGGGTTTAAGGTTCTTGTTCAGGGGGTTTAAGGGCTTAGGGACTGGACGGTTTGGGTTTTTGAGGACTTCGCTTGATGATCGACTTCGGTCCAGATCCAGCTATCCAGATCTCATGCATATCACTAGGGCCGCCGCTTGTTTGTTTTCAGGTGAATCGGCCTGGAGTCCACATGCATAAGGTTTTAGGCAGATTTCAGGACTGAGGTTGTGGGATGAGCGGTTGTTTTGGATCAGCGCAGACGATAGGACCCTGCACAGTCTCTACAGGACCTTCATCGCGAAGCCTTAAACTGAACAAGCTTACTTCCTCTACACCCACAGCCCTTAAGATGATCTGCCTCGGAACCCTAAATTCCACAAATCCGAAACCCAGAACCTAAAGCCCCAACCCTTCGACCACGGAGCCCAAGAATAAAAACTTTAAACATGCACTCCTAATAAATAAGCTCCCTGGGTTAACAATTTAGGGTTCTGGGTTAGGGTTCTTAGCTCCGAGTTTTGGAGTTTGGTCACTTATGCGACCTCTATGCCCGATTGAGGAACAGGCAACCCGAAGTGCAATTACTACACCATGCAATGTGCCGCAGCCGCTAAACCCTGTACAAGCTTTACTGATATAAACCTGCGAATCCTTTGTTTGATTTGGCCTGTACCCTAGGGCCCTAGGGCTGAAAGTATACATATAGTACCTACTTTGGGGTCTAAAGCCTGCTTCGGGCCTTTTGCAGCCCATGAGGAACCCCTATTATAGAACCCTATAGTACCCTTACAGGAACCCTTAAAGGAACCTACTTCGGGCTGTTAGCATTTTAGTCGACCCACGACTTCCGACCCAAAGCCTGAGCCCGACCTCTGTGTTGATACAGCACGTCCGAACCGGAAAAAAGGGTAATGTAGGAACCCGATCAAGAAAAAATGGCCCTATAATAACAAAATACTACTATAGCACTCACATAACGGATCCAGGGTTCCTTGATCAGGTTCCTATATTATCCTAAAAAAGGGGTTGAGAATGACCTTCTGGGTAGCGCATCGCCGAGGTGGGCAGACCATTATGGTACCAACCGTGTACGACCCATCAGAGCTGCGATCTGACGTGAACGGCAAGGCATCGCGAAGCCTTTGCAAAGACACGGTTCAGGGTTTAGAGGCCTTCTAGGGATCATGAAAAGGCTCTCACCAGATTTCTGGATTCTTAGTAGGAATTTAGAAGGGTTTCTGAGCAGGCTTAGTTTCGTTTACTGCGTTCGAAACAGAGGGTTTTCAGGCCTTTGGAGCAACGCTTCGGATCTTGAGTCTACAGCTTTGGACGCCTTGGGGGTTAAGGAGTGTTGGTGCGTTTAGACAGTAAGTGTGTGTATATATATATATGTATGTACACACACATGTATACATACACATATATATATATATATATGTATCTATCTATCTATATATATATATATATATGGTTGCGCCCATTGCTTTTGATTTGATTGAAGCGGTCGTCATCGCCATCAGCACAGATGCTGCCAATGTCGTAATCATTGCCGGCATACTCTGTCGACCACATCAGCATGGTTCTCACCAGCAACAACTCAACATGTTCATCCCCAGCGTCATGCATATATCAGATGCGAATATCTTGACTGGCAGAAGCATTTGATAATAGTTCGTAATGCGTTATCCTTTGGGTTCCTGAATTTGTGTTGTACCACAACGTGCCGAAAAATCCTTTCCTTATGTCCACGGCCTGTAGACGATTTTCTCGCAAAGCAACGGACTTGGCAAGTCTTCGAAACATCCCTCTCGCAGACTTTTCTTGAGGTTTAGGTTTTAGTGCTCGGGTTTTAGACTTTAGGCCTTGGGTTTTAGGGTTCTGATGGATAATACTGATTCGGCTAATGGCACATGTACTTTGCGCAGCTGCTAAGACCCATGCCAGCAACGAAGCTTATCCAGAATACGTTTTCCATCGTGCTGGAATTATCCTCAAAACATCTTACCAGCAGCCAGCAGTAGCAATATCGCAGCAGCTCATTACACTATATCGCAAAGGGCCAAAGGCTCCAGGTACCAGTATAGTAGGTACTTAGTAGGTATTTGGGCCCCAAAAGTATATACTATACTACTGCATTGACCCTTTGGGTATGTTGTGTTCACCCTAGACCCTAAACCTTAAACCCTAAACCTTTATAGAAACCCTTATAGGAACCCTTAACAGAACCCTTCAAGGAACCCTAGAACACAAGAGACCTGGCCGGAGATGCGAGCCCTTAATCTGCGAAAAGCATACCACGCAGGTGGTGCGCTACTTGCACGACGAGGGCACCGAAATTCAGAAGGGCCCACAGCTCACAGTTAGGGTCGTGTTCTGGGAGTTTTAATCAGGACATAGCGTGGTTTTGGTCTAGTCATTCTTGGTTTACGGCCTTCGGGAGACCGGATGGCTTTGTTTTGGAAGTCGTTTGCTTTTGGGTGTTGCTCGGCCTTTCCTTACCTTTGGTTAGTAGGGAATGGAAGGATGGTAGTAGTAGTAGTAGTAGTAGTAGTAGTAGTTATAATTGTACCCCATTCCTCCATTCCCTACTAACCAAAGGTAGGTTTCTCAATACATTCGTGGGCCTCTGGGTGTGTTTTGTTGTTTCCATCTGCTGCTGCTGCTGCTGCTGCTGCTTTTGGGGGTGGTGGTGGTGCTGCTGGTGCCAGCAACTTTGAGCTGGTTGAATGACCAGTCCAATCAAATGGTTAGCTTCAAAACACTACTGTTGATATTCACCCTGCAAACATACAGTAGACAACGTAATACGGCAGGTATAGTTCTTACTGTGAAGCGGGAAACGATGTAGTTCAACGCAATTGTGTGGGTGGTAAAGGTAATCGCATTGTTTAAGATCCTGTAATGCATTAAGATAGCTTCCTTGTTCACATATGCCGTTCGTCTACAAATGCTGCTCACATTTCGTGTAATTATCTACTGTGGCGAAAGGCTGCACCGGCTAAGGCATTTCGGTAGACTGCAATCGTTCGGTGTGCTTTATCTGTATAAATGCACGCACACACACAGGCTCGCACACATCCTTGTATTTCCTGGGTGCTCATACTGTAGAATATACTGTTTCACAAGACCACATTCCCATTATTCAGGCCCCTACAACGCTATGAAGCTTATCAGCCTCTTAGAGGAACTCGATTCCAATTCTTAAGGCCCCTTTATTCTGCTGAGGCGAAGCATACATTGAGCTGGAGGCCATGAAGATGATCATGGCCTGGTACCCAGATGGGGCTGACCGTGGTTGCAAGAGCTTTACTTTAATAATTCTTTGTAGGTTCTGCCGGGCTTTGGTACAGAACTTTGGATACACAGACACAGTGTTTTGCGCTGTCTTACAGGCTCTGTACCACAACACGCTGATCTAATTGAGTCCGGGTTTAGGGTCTAGAGTTTACGATTTGGGTTTTACGCTGTGGCTTTGCGGCAGATGCAAAGCCCGAAGTCTGAAACCTTGATGACTCCTGAACTAAAGCAATTCCTGTTCCCCAAGCCGCCCTTTAGTGGGCGTTTGGAGTTTAGGGTTTCTCCAGGGTAGAAATGAAGTTAGTCAGAGTTATATAGTCTGTTGGGTAGTGCATGATTATCTGGTACGTGGACCCGTCAGCTCGCAAACCAGAGAAGATCACATCAAGATTGTTGGCGTTCTCATGCCTAGCTCTGGTCAGGAAGTGTGGCCCTAAACCCTATACCGACAATCTGCTACTTCCTGTGGCTATCGGCGAAGGCATCTTCAAGCGCTTTTGATTCCCCCTCCATGATTCCCCCTCGTAGTCCTTTCATACTTATACAGTAACAGATTAACAAACGCTAAACACTTATTCTCATTGAAAATGCCCTTGTAAGACCCGCTCATCGTTACTATATACTTATACTACAACACATTATCAAAGCCCGGATACTACCAGCTTATAGTTTTGCTATATACTTGTACTACACCATATACAAGCATCGTGAAAGACCTTATGGTAGCCCTTCCAGGAAGCTAAAGCAAGCCTTAAAGGAGCCTTTCTAGCCCTAAACCCTGAACCCTAAATCCCTAAACCCTACAAACCCTAAACCTTAAACCCTAAACCCTACATCCCTAATCCTTAGACCCTATAAACTATAAACTCTATAAACCCTAAACCTTAAACCCTAAATCCCTGAATCCAAAAACCCTCAGAACGCTTCCAATCTGCAGGCCTTGAAGTCCAGCGAGGCCGGCAAGGCCAGGAGACTGCCCCCGGGGGAAGGGGTGTTCGGAAGAAGGGGATGGCCAGTTCTGGGGTGGTGGGGTTTAGGGTTTAGGATTTAGGGTTTGGGGATGGAGAGTTCTGGGGTGCAGGGGTTAGGTCCAGGTTTAAGGTTTAGGGATAAGGGTTTAGGGTTCAGGGAGTTCAGAGATGGAGAGTTCTGGGGTGTAGGGTTGATGGTTAAGGGTTTGGGGATGGAGAGTTTTGGGGTGCAGGGCTTGGGTTTAAGGGTTTAGTGTTAAGGGTTTAGGGATGGAGGGTTTGGGTAAGGGCTTAGGGGTCGGAGGCTGGGGTTCAGGGATGGAGGGTTTAGGGATGGAGGGTTTGGGTTTAAGGGTTTGGGGGTTGGAGCGGGTTTAGGGTTTAGGGACTTGCAGTTTCTGGTTGTGCATCTTTTTTGATGTTACAGTGGGTTCATGTAGGATTCTAGAGGATGGTATTGGCAGTTGAGGTGGCCATTTCGGGGCTGGTAAGGTTTCAATCTTTTTGGCTTCTGAGGTTAATGCGCTGAGGTTGGTCTGGGGCGTTCCCCTACGACTCCAAGTGCCTGAGTGCACAAGTTATGCCTCCTTGGGCCATGTTTTGCTATCTGGGGTGTTTAGGTGCTTGCGGGCAAAGGTTCCGAGTCGAGTCTTGCAAAGCTGCGGGTGCTGGGAATTCAAGGTTTAGGGCTGCAAATGCGCGGGTTCAGAAGCCCCCCGGCACTTGGCCAGCATGATGTTGGAAAAGTGAACTCAAATATATTGAGACCTGGACGGCAGCAGTTTACATTACATAAAGACCTACCTATGTACCTTTAGTTTCCACTGTGGTTGGTTCCTTTTTTTGGTGCTAAGCTCATGTTTATAGTTAGAATCCAAAAACAAGGTAGCCGAAGAAAGGAATTGCAATGAAGACTTCCAGGACCCTCCTTGTACCCTCAAATAGGGGTATATGGTTCCAAATTGGAGGTATTTGGAGTCTAATAGTGGGTACATGGAGGGTCTAGGTTCTTGTGGTTATCTCTTGGCAAGGTGTCTCATTCGCTGAGCCCGGGCAGCATCGTCTCGGCCGGCGAATTGTTGGCGAAGCTGCTTGGTCGAATCCACGACGCCTACGGTCTTTGTGGGTTTAGGGTTTACCCAGAGGCCCCATAGTAGTTCCTTTTTGTGATTAGCTTATAGGATTCTGTATATGAGCCCCACAGAACTACTTGGGGCCTTAGGGTTTAGGGGTTTAGGGCTTGGGGTACTGCAAGGGGTAGGTTAGGGTTTGGGGTATGGGGGTTTAGCAAAAGGTCATTACAGTATAAGGTTGCCTTCCGGGGTACCACAGGGGGTAGGTTAGGGTTTAGAGTTTGGGGGTTTAGGGTTTAGAGAACTATATAACGTGGCTTTAAGGGGTTGTGTTGTTGTGTTGTCAGAGCCGCGGGAATTCGTCTCTTCATCCTCTACTGTACACATCCAAAGCATAGCACATTCTCCTTGGTAGCTTCGTTCCGTTTTCATGATTTCCGTCACAACCCTCCCTTCCAAATTTGTACAATCCAGCTTAAGTAAACCTTGAACATCCCATACCTCAAATCCTATGCCCTAAACACCCTAAACCCATAAGGCTCCAAGGAGTCCATCTAAGCGGCCACGGGTATCCCAGATCACGATCCACAGTCCGACATCAAGCACTCCTTGCGCCTTCGCTTTCCAAAGCAGGTTTGCACCGGAGAACATGAGTCCTACACCCTTACGCTTTTCCCAACTACCCACAAAGAAAGGAACAAGAAAGCTCCCAAGCTAGAAGCACTACCCTCAAGCCTAAACCCTCCAATCCCATGTTGTTTGCCGTACTCTAAGGTTGGAGCTCAAGGACCCCTCCAAGGCGGATGATGTCTTGAGCAGCACTAGTTTGTGTAGGTTTGACGTTGTTGGTGTTTGTTTTTTTGTGTTTTGCTGTAAATTTAGACGAGTAAGAGTGGGGTTTATGGTTGATTGCAAGGCCCCAACAAGACTACATGTAGCAACTATAGCGAAAGCCCACCAATCTCCGGGAATGGCAGGCTGCACTTCCCCAAATCACACCTACCCTGAACCCCAAACCCTAATTCCTGAACCCTAAGCCGTAACACTTGGCTACGGCTCAAGAGAGCGCTAGTCTTCGCATGCAAAACCAAAAGCTGTACTCACCTTTGCACCCTAGGTTTCCGCCAGCCAGACAAAGCCAATGCATGGCAATTGATCCGACAAAGATCGATAAAATTGATCGGAGCTATCTTCAAGAAGCTTTCTGCGCCCAAGATTCGACTTCGGCCTCAGCATCAGCGAGGGCAAGCATCGTTATGGTGAATGACGACTGACCTATCATGCTAGTGTAGTGCGGAGGGAACTAGTAGGGTACGTTACTATTGATGACTCCAGTCCACTCCAATCCTGGTAATACTAGCAGTGCCTTTTCCCTAAGGGTCCATGTACCCATATAGAGATACATGAGCCCCAAAGTACCTATATAGGGACTACATTAAGGCCAATGTATATACTATATGAGTACATGGACCCTTAGGATTTTTGAAGTTGGTATGATCCGGTTTCCAGTGTCCCGTGCTGCGCTTAGTAGTCTATCCCAACCGCATAAGCTAGTGTAGACTCATGTCTTGCTTACACTTATGGGGTTTCCGAAAAAAGCGGACCCTAATATAGCACCCTAAATATTAGGATCCGTATTATAAGAACCCCCCAAACAAGGTACCCCCAATATTCGGAAACTCCCTTATGTTCGTGGTTCATGCAAACCGTTGCAACAGTGCTTGTCCTTTCCTGATAGTTATCTAAGTTATCTGGGTTGTCTTGCCTTTCAGTAACCTGCCTCTAGTGCAGACGTGCTGCCCTCAAATCCCGAAACCCACCACACCCTAAACCCGAAGCCCTGTAGCACCCTAAGCCCTGAGCCCCACTACACTCTAAACCCCCTAAATCCCACCACACCCTAAACCGTGAACCCTACGGGACTCTAATCCCTCAACCCTACCACACCTTACACCCTGAATCCTACTTGACCATTGTTGGCAGGTGAAGAAAATTTCGCCGTTCGAAGGTGAGTTTGACATGAGCGCGAAGCCAGAGCCTGCCGCTTCCTCGGAATGTGGCTTCTATCAGAGCGGGAAGGGTTTAGCATTTTGGGTTTGAGGCTGAGTGTTTGGGGCCTGGTTTAGGAACTTTTCGGGTTGCGGTTCAGGATCCAGTGCATAAGTAGTAATAGTATCCCCTGATCGCCCCTTTACTGTAGAATATGCACTGATTCGGCTTTGTTTTTACACTGGTTGACATCTCAACAATGAGGACCTAAACCCAAAAACCCTAAACCCTAAACCCAACAAATTCCGACTGCTAGACAGGTGGAAAAGAGCCCTCAAAAAAAAAAAACAGAGCCGTAAGGTTTTGGAGTAAGTGTTTGGGGTTTAGGGCTTAGGCTTTGGAGTCGCAGGTTCAGAATTTCAGAGGTGGGGTTTGTACTGTTTGAGACTTCAAGTGAGAGTTTCCGAAAATAGGGGACCCTAATAGAGTACCCTAAATAGTGGGATCCTTATTATAAGGACCCCAAAATAGGGTACCCATAGTTTTCGGAAGCTCCCATTTGGGGCGGGAGGTTTAGGGTATATCGACGGCTTCTAGCAGCCCCCGCGGCCAGGGCAGTGATCCGCACATCCTCTTCAGTTGCTCGGTCCCATATTCCCCGAGCAAGCCCCCCCGGAGATTGGTGTTCCAGGTGCAGTTAGACTCAAGTCATCCCAAGCCTGGAGTCCTACCAGATCATCGCAGAGAGTTGAAGCTGTGTCTGTCATTTCAATCTGCCAATGCCCGCGCAGCCTCTCTGATCACGACGATAGAGTCTGATACGTGAAGTGAACAAGGTGGAGTCTTGGAGCCAGAGTGACTCCGCTGTGGATGTGAAGCTTGCAGTTCAGAGGAAAAGGCCCAGTGAACGAAGCCAGCTGCATGAAGGGCCACGGAAAAGGTGAACAGGAAGGAAACTGTTTTGCAGTCTAGTCCTTTGACGGAGAGCGGTACCAGTGGAAGTGGAACGAAGGAACAAAGGCTTGGCACTGGTACAGCAGCAACAAGGAAGAAGGATGGAAGAAGGGAAGCAACGATCCCAAAGATGCGTGAGTGCTTGAGAAAGAGAGACCGTGGGGTGGTCGCGCGTGGTACGCCAGTGCTCATGTGTACGGCTTTTTGCAAAACTGGTCAATCGGTGGTCGACTCTGAGGGTAACCCTATTTCGGGCAAGCCATTGAGAATGATTGTAGGCGTGAGTCTGCTGGCCAAGCTGGACAATGCCGCTGCTTACCAGGCACTCTTCTCCACGCCCTAAGGCCCTAAGTTAAGGGTCGTAAACGACGTCTCACTACTGAGCCTAGATCCCCCAGTACATCTCACTGTGTAAAGTAACATAGGATTTGGCGGCTGAGTTAGCTGGGGTCTAGGCACGTTTTGAAGTTGTGGTCCAGAGCTTACCAGCAAATCGCATAGGCATAGGGCTTCGGTGTTGTCTTGGGCTTGGAGCCCATGGAAGTTTCGCATTTTGGCGTGGGAAAGTTTAAATACAGGCTTATGAAGGGCCGCGGCTTGGGACCCGTTTACGGGAAGACGTCAAGTTCTAAATGTATTACACCCTTTGCGCGATTTGGAGTTCTAGGGATGGAAACCCAGAGCCGTTCCCACTGGCCAAGGATGCCCCAGCGCCACGGGAAGATCTGTTGGCTCTTTTGGATGGCTCGGGCGCCCAGTTATTAGCGGCAGCGGAATTTCTTAGAGTTTCGATCTTAGGTAGGGTAGGTGTTTAGGGTATATGGTTTAGGAAAGGCTTTTAGGCTTGCTCTTGGAGCTTTTCATTGGCTTCCGTTGCTGCATTCGAGCCTCGACCCTGCTGTGTGTATGAAACTCTCTCTTCTCTTTCTCTCTCTCTCTCTCTCTCTCTCTCTCTCTCTCTCTCTCTCTCTCTCTCTCTCTCTCTCTCTCTCGCTCGCTCTCTACATATATATATATATATGTTATGTTAGTGATGTTTTTGTCTATCTGTCTTTATGTATGCAGACACTGGATTCAACGACCTTGGAGTCTCGCGGTTAACAGGAACTCCAGAAAGTTGGAAGATGGATTACTGGTAGGATCCCCTATAATTTACCTTAAAAGGGGTTACGATAATGATATTCCAACTTTCTGGCTTCTACTGTAGGGTCAGGCGCTTGTTGGATCCAGGGTTCAAGTTTAAGGCTAAGCGGTTCAATGCAGACGGTTTAGGGTTTAGGGGGCCAGCTAGTATAACAGTACTCGTTGAAGGGCTCCTGATTCTAAGTATGATTTATAGTATAGCGGAATACACCCCAATGCCTCATTCGAATCATGAAGGCCCGTTTGTTCGGCTTCAGGGTGCAGTGCAGAGTCCAGGGTTTAGGGAGTTATGGGCCCCAGTCCGTGGGTTTAGGCTTATGAGCTTCGAGGGCTTAGAGACTTTCGGGTCTGAGGGTTTAGGGCTTATAGGGCTTAGGCCCTAAGGCTCAAAATAGCCCAAAAGCCTTACATAGTATGGTCTTTGGGCCCAAAAGCCTTAAAATATGAGTCCTTAGAGCCTAAGGGAGGGAGATTTAGGGAGTTTAGGGTCTTAGAGTTTAGGCTTTCGCGCGCTTCTTTTGGGGATTCCGAGCTCCATCCTTCGCCCTTCCGTTTTTTTTTTTCTGCGTAGTCTGCGTGGAGTACTAGGGCCCAGAGTAAGCCCTTATTCCCTTTTTTAGGGTTCAGGTTCCCTTATAGCCCCCTCTAAACCAAAAAGGGCACCCATCTTATTAGTAGGTTACTCTTAGGTCTAGAGTATGGGAACTGAAGCTTCTTAGAACTTCCACCAAAATCCCTTACAATTCGGCTCTAAGGACTCATATCTTAAGGCTTTTGGGTTTAGGGGTTTAGGAGATAGGATTTAGCGTGTACTTAAGTTTAAGGATTTAAGGACTCATATTTTCAGGCTTTTGGGTCCAAAGACCATACTTTGTAAGGCTTTTGGGCTATTTGAGCCTTAGGGTTAATTGAGGAATATACCTGAAATTATGGCAGGACTCCTTGTGTGATTTATGGTATCTTCCTTTATTAAGGTGATTTTGGAAGGTCTAGGTTTAAGTCTGAACCGAATGCCCCAAGCCTCAAGCCCTTAACCCCAAGCGAGGGTGTAGAGGTGTGGATTAGTATTTACAGTTTGCCTCGGGGTTGTTGCACTTTGAGCTTTGGAACGTGTTTTAAGCCAATTGAGCAATGTGCCTCACTCTAAATAAGCCCTAAAGCCAAACCCTAAACAACACTTGCTGTCGCACCAAAGTCGATAAATCTCAAATCCCAAACCCTACCTTTAAATCAGACCCTTTTCGATGAGGTTGCTCCCTCAACCTCAAACGTTAAATTCCGTTAAACCCGAGAACCCGAAACCCTACGCCGCAAACCCAGAACCATAAGCTTTTGTAGACAAGACCATAAAACTTAAACCTTAGACCCTCTCGTACGCTGGAAACATTGGGCATGGGATGACTGCTTTTCCTATGGCTCATCGTATAAAGCACCACCGTAACGCCAGTTTTCTTGGATCGGCTCCGCCAGTGGCGGGACCGCATATCCATAAGCATTGGCGTCCCTTGGGAGAGGTTATAACAGCGGATCTGGCCGGAATGGACTACGGCTGCTTTCTTCATCTCATGAATAAGGACATTTCGCAGGTAAACCAGCTTTTCTCCTTTTCTGACGGCTTGTTCAAAGATGCTGGACACGCTGACAGAGTTAGCATCGCGGTACATGAATCGCCCGCGTTGTGGCCTTACGTTCGACGTGGAGTCTAGAGCGGAACTGTAGGCTTCGTGCAGCTGCACGAGAGTCTACAGTCCATACGCATCGAGCTTGGAGGCGAAATCCTAAGCACTTTGCATAACGGTACGTGGGTTCTTGTTGAGGAGTTTATTCTAAGCTACCATAATACGGATCTATATTACATAATTATGTGGCTACTTTAGTACGGTAGCTTAAAGTAAATCCCTTGAAAAGTACCCTGTTAAGACGACACTTATAGATGAGGCTTGCAAAACCATTACCCTAAACCTTAGACCCTATAATCCTATAAATCCCAAACCCTATAAACCTTCAACCCTTAAGAAGACCCTCATGCATGAGGCTTCTATGTGGACACGAAGGGACCGGCCCTGGTAGAGCAGGTCTTCTCAGGCGCTTCCGACAACCTGGGGACCTTCAGCTGGGGCTTTCGAAAGGTTTGATTCGGTTGTTGTGTTTGTTGGCATGTCTTTGCAAAGATCATAAGTGTGTTTATCTGATACGCGTTGTAGAAGTGTCGTTTATGAAGGTTTTAGAATGATTTAAAACGGGGTTTATGAAGGCTTCAAGGCGTTTCAGGTATCACAGTTCAGCTCTTGTTTTCCAAGGGGATTCACAGGGCCTGAATCATTTGTCACACACATGGGTTAGGGTTCCCGATGAACGTTGTAAGCATCGACATCCACCAAGACCCGAGTCGCAATACTTGGGCATGGGTTTCTACCTAGACCACCGAAAGTACGTAAAATAGTGGCGAAACACCTCTGAAGGGCTCTTATTCTCCCTAAACCCTAAACACCTATGAAGGGCTTTTATTCTCCCTAAACCTTAAACACCTATGAGAGGCTTTTCTTCTAAACGATAAACCCTAAACCCTAAACCCTAAACCCTAAACCCTAAACCCTAAACCCTAAACCCTAAACCTAAACCTTGGGGGTCTAGGTAGGTTTGAAGAGTTCGGTTGGGTGCTCGGGTTTCCAAGGGGGTTCGCGGTGCTCGGCCTCGTAGTCGACCTGGAGGCCTTGGGGTTCCTGGTAGGATGCCTTGTATGAGGTAAATCCTAGGGTTCCTTTAAAGGGATCTATAAGGGTACCCTTAAGGGGCTCCAGGAAGGGATCTATAGGGGGTTTAGGGTTTAGGGTTGATGATACAAATCCTGCATGACCCATAATAAGGAATAGACCATACTTCCCATATATTCCTTATTATGGGTCATGCAGGATTTATATCATCAACCGTAGTATTGTGGGGTTGTAGGACAAGGGTTTCTGGATCAGGTTCCTACATTATAGGGCCATTTTGGGTATATTTAAAGTCTATTTTATTCCTTTGGGGGTTTAGAGCCTCGGGTGCCCCCTGCCTGCTTGGGGTTCGAGGGCCTGTGGCTCCAAGTTTCGTCTCCGGGCCCTTCACAAAAAAACGGTGTCTTAGGGACTCCACCGTTCGTCGATCCCAGAGACTCCAATACCCCTTAACTAAGGAATATTCCTTAAATTATAGTAGTTATAGTAGGATCCCTTATATGACTTAAGGAATATTCCTTAATTAAGGGATATTGGAGTCTCTGGGGGTTTGCTGCACGATGTTATTCTGGATGGCTGCCCTCTTTCACTCTTCGGATCCGAGATGGAAGGAATAGTAAGCACTTGAATCCCTTAATCCCCAAGCCCTAAACCCCAAACCCCCTAACCTCTAACCCCTAACTTCCCTAAACCCCTAACTTCCCCCAACCCCTAACTTCCCTAAACCGTTAAACTTTAAACCCTCAAGCCCTAAACCCTAACCCCTACATCCCTAAACCCTAACCCCTAACCCGAAACTTCCCTAAACCCCCTAAATCCCCAAACCCGAAATTTGAAATCCGACCCTGCTCGCTGACTAGGCTTCGCCAACCGGGAAGCTGCTGCCGAGACTGCTGCTGGCCTCAAATCGAAGTACGGTTTAGGGCCTAAGGCCTTTGGGCTCTAGGGTTTTGGGTTTTAGGGGCTTAAGGCCTTTAGGATTAGGGTTTGGGGGTTTCGGGCCTTTGGGCTTTAGGGTTTAGGGGTTAAGGGCTTAGGGGCTGAGGGATTAGGGTTTTAGGGTTTAGGGTTTTAGGGTTAAGGGTTTAGGGGTAGGGTCTGGGCGTTAAGGGCTCAGGGCCTTTGGGGTGTAGGGTTTAGGGGTTTAGGGACTTTTGGTTAGGGTTCAGGGGTGTAGGGGTTTAGGGTTTAGGGTTGAGGGGTTAAGAGTTTAAGGTTTCTAATTTAAGCCGTGTAAGCTTGAAAGGCTGAGCCGCATATTACATGAGGCTGTCTTCTCAGCCGAGTACACTACAGTTGATGATACAAATCTTGCATTACCTTAAGAACCCAAAATTTTGGGAATAGTGGTATTATATTCGTTATTATGGGTAATGCATGATTCATATCATCAGCCGTGTGTCTGTGGCTTCTTTTGTGGAGAAGCCGACTAGGGTCTTCTCAGGTCTGCTTTCGGAGCATCAGGGGTTTAGGGTTTAGGGTTTTTTGTTTTTGACCGCCGTTGATCAAGGCTTGAAGTTCGTACCGATGTACTATGCACCACGGCAACACTATAGTCCAAACGGTGTTTTGCAAAAGGAGACACACAGAGAGAGAGAGAGAGAGAGAGACAGAAACGGAAAAAGTTAAATCCTCAGCCATAAAACCCTGAGGCCCTAAGCCCTAAGCAACCATAAGCCCTAAGCCCGTTTAAGGTGCGCGGTGTGCTGGAGAAGTACCTCTCCAACGAACGTCCCTTTGCGGCGTCCATCCAGCCCCTGGCCTTGGTAAACCTCGCAGCTTTGGGGTTAGGGGTTTAGGGTTTAGGGTTTAGGGTTTAGGGGTTTAGGGTTTAGGGCTTAGGGTTTAGGGTTTAGGGCTTTCGAGTTTAGGGTATGGGGTTGGTTTCAGGTTGGGGACTCAGGGTTTCGGACCTTAAGCTCAGCTTCTTGGTGGATACTTCAGGGTTTTAGTTTAAGTTTATCATCAGGGTGTAGGGCTTAGGGCTTTTAGTCGGGAGTGGTGGATGAGCACGGGGACCGCTTGTGTTTGAAGCCAAAAGCGATTGTTGTTTAGTTTGCTTTAGTGACTCGGTTGCTTTGTAGTTTGTGTCACACTTTGCACAGACTACGGCACCTCTGAATCCCTAAACCGTATTTCACAACCACGTGTCCTTCGGATCCTGATGTCGAATGACGCTCAGGAGAAGACGATGGCAGTTTATTGTAACCTTGTAGCCGGCTGGCACGTTCAAACACGGTTTAGACCCTCTCAACTACCCGGTTTTCATTCTACCGACTACATCATGGTTTTGATTCGATTAATGTACATATTTTCGGTATATCCCACGGAACCAAGATCAATTCAAGGACGGCCATGTAGGCCCCAGGCTACTTCGGGCCGGGGATTTGTTGCAACCTTTGCTCAGATCCCCAAGTCGAGATTTGAGGGCACATGGCACAGGGGTTGTGTTCCAATCTTCTGCTGGAGTCCTGTAGCCTTTTGTAGTAGCTTGATTAAGCCTTAAACACAAAAAGCCAAAGCCATGCATCAGATACCTCTCCGCCCAGGAACAAGCAGCCATACGTGCGCCGAACCTGATTAACATTCACGGTCTGGGGCTAAGGGTTCAGGATCAGGATAATCCCCCATCTAGGGTCTGAGCTAGCCAGATTGGGTTTGGGGATGTTTGGGGGTTATGCTTTCTGATACACTTACATACGTGGTAGAAGACGATACATGCCGGAGCTTCTTGAGATGATACATTTCGGAGATTCTTTGAAGTCAGGTCCTGGTGGCCAGCAGCAGCTCAAAGAATGTGATGAGACCTAATTAGACCTAGACCCTCAAATTATTCTATTGTACCTTAAATACCCACTATCAAGAATACTCCGGGCCCGATCAAAGGGCACTCGGGGTGTCCTGGCACCGTCCGGCTTTTATGGGAAAGGCTAAATCACGACAGAGTTAGTGGTGTGCATTCTGGAGACGGGCTTTCCGACAAACATGCAGAAACAGCAGAAACAGGAACGAGAGACTGGGAGAGAGAGAGAGAGAGTGAGTGAGTAAGTCCAATCATGGTTCCATTTCGGAGCCAGGTTGTCGTCAGGGAGCATCAGCATAAGCCTTCAGCCACTAGTCTCTAGGTAGTAGACATGTGAGCCCTATATAAATCCTAGGTCCTAACCCTAAACCCTAGACTCTGGATTTCGGGTTCGGGGTGTAGGCTTTGGAACTTTGGGCCTTGGATTTAAGGTGTGGGCTGGGGTAATGTGTAATCCCCAAATACTGTCCAGCAGCACCCTGGTGGTTTTGCTGCGGAGATGAACAAGCAGGCACCCGAATCAACCGAAACCGCTCTCTCTGGAGCCTGAGCCCGAAAACATAAGCCCTATAGATCTTAAGCGCTCCAGCTTCAACCCTAAACCCTGAAGCCCTACAACACCCGACAATCCTAAACCAAGGCTCCTGCATGAAGGCTAAACCTCAACCGTAAACCCCGAAAGGCGACATTAAACCCTAAACCCTCAATTCAGAGGAACCCTAAACCCTCAAAACAGACCTTCAATCCCGACCGCTTTAAAAGGAGCCTTAAGCCCCGCCAGGACAAGTTGCTTCTCGACTTGATCAACGAGGGGAAGGAGTCCCTTGAGAAGGCCTATCCTAAACCCTACACCCTAAACCGTGTTCCTGGGCCCCCGGCGCCCTTATCCTAAACCCTAAACCGTTCCTGCTCACTCGAGAGGTTTTGGCTTTTGGGGTTCAAGGGTTTAGAACGGTCTAGTGTGTATGTAGTAGGATTTGTTTTTAAGATTTGTTTAGGCTTTTGGGGTTGAGGGGTTTAGTGTGTACATTAGTGGCCTTGGCAACTATTCTGTTCTTGTCACTTGTCTGATCTGAGTAGACAGATTGTTTTCGTTTTGGTTCGGAGGGCGTTCAAGCGTAGGCATTGAGGATTTTGGGGGTTCGAGGCTAAGGGGTTTAGAAAAGTGGGGTCTTGAGTTTTCGAGCTTTAGGAGTTCGGTTGGCTCAATAATAGGGGGACTGGGGGTTTTTAGGGTTTAGGTTGAGTTCAGGGGTTGTATATAAGTTTGATAAGGTTTGACAACATGGTTGCAGTACGAATGTATAGCATTTTTAATGTGGTTCAAGGTCTTAGACCGCCCGAAGGCATAAATCTAAGCTGATCTCATCAAGGCCTACGGCCTCCCGGCCTGGGATAAAGACGGGAGCTGTAGATCATAAGCTCCGAATGCCTGAAGCCTGCATCTCATGACTACCACCCTCAATGCAGGTTCTCTTCATGGTGGTGGCGCACAACAAGCTGACTGATCGCACGAACCTTAGCGAAACCCGAGTCGTTACTTGCTTCCCGGCGCCATCAACTCTGCCTCTCCCTGATGTGGCTGTACGTGCAGAGGTTTGTATCTGTGATTCTGGCGGAAGCCCAAAACCCTGGGCCCTAAACCCTAAACCCTGGTCCCTAACCCCTGAACCCTAAACCCTGAACCCTGAACCCGAGGAGCTTCAGCCTTGAATCGTAAAGCAAGCCCGGAAACGGTAGACGTTAATCTAGGCAGTTCAAGAGCCTTGTGAAGTTCGAGCTTTCCTCAAGCCACCGAAGACTACATTAAACTGCTAAAACCTCTTGTCTTGTGCCCTAATGTAGAGTTTGCCATCTACCCCGACAAAAAAAGCGGTTTTCGATCGTTCAAGGCACCGGCTCTGCCAGAAGTCCGTGTTTGTCTGTCTGTCTGTCTGTCTGTCTGTCTGTCTGTCTGTCTGTCTCTCTGACTGTCTCTCCGTATGTATGCATGTATGTGTGTGTGTGTGTATGTATTTATACATCTGCTTCATGCATCAGTGGGAGGATCAAGATGTATAGCTCTAGAGTTCAGCTATTCAACTCGCGATGCAGAGAAACTCTACAGCTCAAAGCGTAGATGGTCATGCTTGCCAGTTTTCCGGCCAAGAGGGAGACTCCATATAAGGGTTCCTTTAAGGGATCTTTAAGGGTTCCCCCAGGGTGGACGGAGAACACTTGAAGACGTGACAAAGCCGGACCCGACCTGAAGACATGGTCATGAGTTCAAGACAACGACCGCAAACTACGATTCGCGGTGCCAGTCGACATTATTAATTTTTAATTCGCAGACATGGACCCGAAGTCTAAATCCTAGAACTCCTTTCGCCCACTACGTATATCCAGAACAACAGATGAGGCAGCGAGGCTGTAATGGCCATGCTCCGCGAAATGGTCGCAGCGGAGGGCAGCGGAATGTCTGGACCTTAGGATGTGTCGGTTGTCGGTCAATGGTTTGCAGGGTTTCAGGGTTGGTTCCTGGTCTTGCTGGGCACACAAAGCGCTTCAAACCCGGAACCCTAACCCAAAACCTTCCCTTACAGGCCCCGAGTCCCTGTGTCAAGCGACGCCCTTTCGACAATACAATACACAGGGAAAAGGCAAGCAAGTCTGATACCTCGGCCGGCGCTTCACCTAAATTGATGTTGTAGTTCCCCTAAGCATCATCATGCTTCGAATGGAAACTCTTCACGGCCAGAGGGGTCTTTGGTGACTGGAGCATTCGGAACAGGGCTCCGGGTTACTTGTTTGTTTGTGTTTCTCGCGGACAGGGAGGTTTGGTTTACGATACAGGCACGAGGGTTGCACGGTCCAGGCAGCATACAAAACCCAGAGCCCTTACGCTAACGGCTTCGTACTTAGGACGCCTAAGGGTCCAAGTGCATAATTAACATATACTCTCCAAAATAGTAGCCTACATAACTATTATCCTAAACCCGAGTACCTAATTATTGGGTCCTTTGGACCCGTAGGGTTATACTATCATGTCATGCTGCTTTGGCTCGCCGATTGTCGTGCTAAAACCGCTCAGGGCTTCGGAATTCACAACAACCCTCATTCATGGATATTGTTGGAAGTTGGAAATGTATAAGTTTTTGTTATTGCATAAGCTTTAGATCTTAGCCCCTATCACCGGCAACCCAAATCATCAGTCCTTTGTCCCTTGTCTCACTTCCCAGGTCTTGCATGTATGTCCCAGACATGCGTGTGGAGGGCGACATGGACGGCGCTGTGACGCTGGCTTGCCTTTCACGGAAGAGCCTGACAAAATCCGTATAAATCCTGACAAGACCCTTAATGAGAAGCCCCCCAAACACCACCGGTAAACTCATAAAGTGCCAGGTCCAGGAAAAGATTTCGGAGCTCTCCATGCTGCCAAGCTCTGCAGCGGTGGCTGGCGACTACGGCAACGTTCGCTACCTGGCGCTGGGGCCTTGGTCTAGGGTTTCAAGATTTTGGGGTTAGGTTTAGGTTGAACCCTAAATGGCCCTAAGTCCTAAACCCTATTAGCTAGACCCTAAACCCGAAACGGAGTTAGCGGCCGGAAGGCTAGTAGTATGTCATCTTGGGAGGATCTCAGCTTGATGGGAATCTCGCGATCCGAAGAATCCATCTACAGGGCCTTCATCATTGGAATCGTATTTCTTGTGGCTCTTGAGCATAAGAGTCTGATGATGGCCTTAGAATGGTGTGTCTTGCGGCTTCCTCATATAACTATAGTACAAGATTCCCAGACACCATTTCCCAATTATTATGCCCCAATATTACACAAGGCACGCACCTGAGGTGCCTTCAAAATCTCTGTCGACCCTAGCTCTGGCGACCCCAGGTGCTTCCCAAAGGGTACTCTTAGAGAGGGTTACATCCCCAACTCATACGAGTAGCCCCTAACACAGAAACCCTATACATTCTACCATACAGGTACTTAGGACCCTTAGGCACTTGATGCATTTAGTCATCCTCAGCTGGTGTCTGCGCATACATATGTTCAGTCACACATTTGGCATACATCTTCGTATATCTACATATGCACACACAAGAAACAGCTGGGACAATGCACATGGACATATAATACCTATATGCATATATACATTTTTTGCATATTAGATAGGTACTTATGTATATACACAGACATGTGTGTATATATATATAGTCTATACACAGTATACTTATACTTATACATATACCTATACACATACATATGCATATGTGTATGCATGTAAGTAGGTAAGTAGGTAGATAGGTAGGTAGGTAGGTATTGATGTTTGTGTGTATGTAGGTAGGTAAGTAGGCATGCATGCATGCATGCATGTACGCCATGTAACGTAGTGTGAGTGAAAGTATGTATGTATGCATGCATGTATGTATGGATGTATGTATATGCATACGCTGACGTAGAATAGATGCAGTGATACATGCATCCACACAGATAGCCGCCCCGTGAGAAAGTCTGTAGTCCACGTGCTTGCAGCACCAAGACGAACAGTCATCGCCCCAAGGCGTGCACATAGAGTCGCAGAGATCGCGGCACGCCCGAACTCAATGATAACCCGAGCCACGAAGATCCATCCCTCGCAGACCTTGTTTCAGGAGACTTTGTTGAATTCCATATTGTGGATTTGGTTTTGTGTCCTCTGTCGAGGCAGCAGTTGCTCGACGTGGTTCCTCAGGAGTCGTATGAGGAGCGTGCAGTGACCTCAGGTATTGCATGGAGTGTCCGGGAACTGTACGTACTATAGGGGCCTAAAAGATTACAAAAGCAATTTTTGATGTTCCTTGTCATAATTGGCATTGTAGTATAATGGGCCCCGAAATTCAATACCCTATTCTAAGTGTTAAGGCCCCTACATTACATCATCAACTTACACAGCACCCCCCCTAGCCAGCCCTGCGTACACCGAAGAGAGGACATGAATGTTAATGTGCTCTTTGGGGGAAGCGCATCTACTCCCAAGGTGCTCCTCAATTAAGCTGAGCTGCAAGTCCCGCCCCCAACCAGCGTCAAAGCCTGCGTTTCAGGCACTACAAGCCACCGTTCAGTGTTCGGGTCTACAGTCTGTGAATCGTATATCTGTAGCCCCAGGCCCCAAATCAACCCCAAACCCTAAACTCCCGAAACCCTACACCCCCTAAAAACCCCTAAACTCCCTAAACCCTACACCCACTAAGCCTTCAGCAAGAAGCAATCCCGAGGTGACGCAGTTCCGAAAGCAGCTCAATGAGGCCACCCCTGGCATCGTACCCAGACCTTCCAACATCCCTCAATTAAGGAGTATACCCTTAGCCATATGAGGGAACCGACCATACTTTAAGGTATATTCCATCAACTAAGCGACTTTGGAAGGTCTGAGTAGTTCTAACACATGACAATCCTTTATATACAATTTGTACAAACGTTTTTTGATGAGCAGTTTTTGTGCCTCATTGATCAAATGCATCCATATTGAAACAAGGTGATCATGTTTGGATCAGTTGGTGGGTTTAGGGTTGGGGTTTAGAGGGATTTCAGGGCGGGGTCTGATGGCTTAGGCTCTACATATGGGTGGTTGTCAAAACTAAGGCCCTTTTTTGGGTACCCTACAGATTAGCTGCCGCATTATATTAATAGGGACCCAAAGAGGAACCATAATTTTGACAGCTAACCATGCATATGTGCAGGGTCAGAGAGATGTTGTGGTGAAGTTTGCGAGTTAGCGTTCGAATGCTAATGCAAAGGGTCAGGGCTTCAGGGTGCCCCTAAACCCTAAGCCCCAAACCCTACCGCCCTAAACCATAAATCCGAAGCCCCAAACCCTAAACCCTAAGCTACCCCCCTAAACCATAAATCCGAAGCCCTAAACACTAAGCTGTTCAGGGCTTTCGGCACCGAGCTACGGCTCCGGGCATCAGAGCATCGCTGCTACCATTTACAGTATGTTTCGCCCGAGGAGCTCACCGGCTGCTTCTTAGGATGTAGGGATAACCTAAGCCCAAATAACCTACCCTTTTTAAGGACTTTTATAAAGAAGTCATATACAAGTTATTTGGGGCCCAGGAAAGGTTTAAACTTGGGGTTTTAGGATTTCGGGTTTAGGGCCATGACATGTCGGTTGTCACGCTAGCTTGTGCAAACGCGGCTTGTTCGGACTCGGACCCCTTTCCGTGGTGGATAAGCAATGGCTCGCTGGCCTGTATATATATATATATATATAGTTTTATATATATATATATAAATACATATATATATATATATATACATATATATATATATATACATATATATATACATACATATATATATATATATATATATATATATTTATACTTTTGACTTAAGAGCGGGGAGGGCAGAACTGATGAACTTAGTACTAGTTGTTGTGGGGATGTTATAGGTTCTGTGAGGGGTGTTGGGTCATTCTGGGTTTAAAGGGAACTCCAGAAAGTTGGAATATGGTTTCACGGTAGGATACCCTAAAATTTACCATAAAGGGTTTAGGATAATCATATCCCAACTTTCTGGCTTTTACTGTAGGGCGTTCAGAGTGGAGTGTTTCGGGTGTTTGGTGTCAGGATTATCGGTCT